AGAACATGGATATTTCAGACACAACATGACAATTAATTTTGACTTACACTTTCTTTGGTTAATTTAGTTTAAGTTCTTATATCACTAATTATTTTGGTTAATAAATCTGGACCATGGTGGTCATGGGAATCCCAAATGTGTTTCCAAGGCAGTGATCATTGTTGTTGGGTGAAGGACTGAGAAGTGTCTGAGGAGACCAAAACGGAATCAGGACAGGATGGCTTTGCCTTAGTCACTTCAGTACAAGTGTGCGATAGAATTGTATTCAGTTGTAAAGAAAATGAAATTTGTAGGAAAATGGATGGAATTTGAAAACATTATGCCAAGTGAGGTAATCCAGTACTAGGAAGACTAATGTTCTCTCTCAAATGTTTGTCTTACCTTGAAATATTTAGGTCTGTGTGTTTAAGTCAGATGCCTGTAGAGGCCAGGAAGTGTGAAAGGCCATTGCTGGGGAGGACAGTAAATGTGGGTTATATGAAAATAGAGAGGGAACACTGGAGTATAAAGGTTCACATGGGGGTGAGCGAGGAGGAAGGAAGTGGAGAGAAGTTCATCTGAATCAAGATCTGTGTGAGAAAGCCATGTGAAAATGTATAATTTTTAAGTCAATTAAACAAAAAGAATTTTACAACTGAGTTTGAATGGTAGTGACCTGTATGAGTGGACAATGCTGCTCCCAGAGTCATAGGTTCTTAAACAAAAATTCTAGCACAGATGTGGGATTCTTCCTTATTAGTTGTTGACCCTGGAAACTCCAGGTGTCACAGAAGTGTAAGGCAGGTATCTCAAACCCACTTGGGTTTAGAGTAAGGCCAAGTTAGGATTAGGGGGTGAAGAGAATCACCCAGAAAGTTGATTACATAGTTATCAAACCCTCGGAGTTGGGGATGTGACTCTGGCACACCTGGGGCAGGCCTGGAGCCCTGGGTTAGGTACCAGCACTACTACACAATAGAAGTAAAAACTAACTAGAAGTAGACAACAAACGCACAGAAGGA